GTGGGCCTCAGCAGGGGGAGAGCTGAGGCGGCCTACAGAGCATCCCCTCAGCCCTCCACTAGCTCTTTTGTTTCAGAGAATCAAGAGCAGCTGTGGCTGGGGGCTCATTTGTGCCTTGCCTCCTCAGAAAGTAGAAGGTCAGGGCCAGCTGGAAATGTGCTGAAAACTTTGCCTCTTCAACCCACTACAGAGAAGAGGAGAGGGAGGCAATTAGTCTCCAACCTCAGGACTCATTCATCGTTTTCAAACATCCAGGATGTGCCTGGCCCTGTGCTGAAACCTGGGAATATAAAATGAGTCAAGCCAATTTCTTCCTTGATAGTCTGAAGGAAGAGGATCAGGATTTCGTGTCTGCAGAGGCCTGTGGGGGCCAAGGGGGAGTTGTAAAGGGTTATGGGGGGCGCAGTAAGGCTACTTGCAAGAAGGGACCAAGTCCAGTGTCAGACTACCTCCTTTATCTGCTGACTTCCACCTTGGTTTCTTCTTTCTAAAGGAAACTGTTCAGCCCACTGACATTTTTTTGAGGTTTCAGATAAATCATGGAAGGCACCACTTTTCATGGAGTCTCCGTTCTGATACCCACAAACTTCAGCAAAAAAAGCCATGAACCCAAGGGGGAGAGAGGTGCAGAGGTGGAGGGAGAAAGCAGAAGGGGCCAAGTTCAGCAGTGGGGCGGGGGCGGGGTGCGCAGCCGCTCCTTCAGAACTGCTGCAGCTGCTGAAGGGTTTTCTCTGAAATAGAATATTGTGACAGAGAGGGCACGGCGGGGCTAAGGACAAGGCATTTCCATAAGAATCCTTCTTGGAGTGCAGTGGAGGGGAACCTTGCTTAGAGGCAGCCTTCGCAGAGCCCGGAGTATAAATCTCCTGGTCCCGATTCAACAACCAGCCCCGCTCCTTTTCCCAGTCCGGGGAAGAAACTGGGACAATAAACTGGGGCAGAGCTCACACCCTTTCCTGCTTCTCTGAACGTGTGAATGGTCCTCGGGGCTCTGGCCTTGCTCCCCCACCCCAGTTGGCTAAATGAGATTCTGCGATTTAAAAAGATCATTCTCAGAGCAGTTGTTGTATCTGAAAAATAACAATGGCCGTCATGAGTGAGGGGTTACAACTTACCAGGCACTGTGCTACCCTGCTTAGGTATTGGTATCCCTATTCACAGAAGATGCAACGGATATCCTAGAGGAAAAGCAACTTGCCTTAGGTCACTCAGCTAGGAAGAGGTGGGTCAGGACTAGAACCCAAAACCGTGCTGTACATGCCGATTTGAAAGGAAGAAGTGGCCAGCTTGGGAAGCAGTGGGGATGGAGGGACTAGAATCTCTGAATGAGAGTTCGGTGGGGAGCGTAAAGTAAGGGGTAGCCCCAGGTGCTATGCCACCTGTCCAGGCCTCTAGGACTTAGGAGGAAGGAGACAGTGACATCTCCCTGGCTGGTGGCCACTTCTCCCCACATAAAACCCTCTCTATGTGGGTTTTGAGCACAAACCTAGGAGTGAGAAGCACTGAGCTCTGGGCTGGGGAATAGGCAGTTAGAACTTTCTGGAGCACCTCCCCCAGCAGGATGAGCTGAAGCCCACCAGGGAGGTGTTAATGAAACAGGGAAGCTGCGAACAGAGCCAGGAGTGATTCCAATCTGACACCTCCACCCCAGCCCCCACTAGTAATGAGCTGGGACCTGCCCTTCTCCCCAGGGAGTGGGGTGAGGGGAAAAGGGGATGTCCTTAGGCATCTTTGTTGCTTCAGATACCTTTCATCATTATTATTTTCACTGCAATAAAGAAAAGGAACCCTCACATTTATTGAGCACCTACTGTGTCCCAGGCACTGTGCTAAGTCCTTTTCATACGTCATTAACCCTCAAAAACATACATGGTCTTATTCGTATCTCCATTTTGTAGATAGACAATCTGAGGCTCAATCAGTTTAAGTGACTGGCCTGAGGTAGAGCCAACATTTGGATCCAGGACTGTTCGACTCGGAAGTCTGTATTCTTAATGCTTTTGCTACTGTGCCTCTGACATGATC